CTCTCTCTCTCTCTCTCTCTCTCTCTCTCTCTCTCTCTCTCTCACACACACACACACACACACACACACACACACACACACACACACACCCCAATGGGATATTTTTCCTTAAAAAATTGATTTGTCTATGTTGCATGCATAAGTAGTTTGTCAGCATGTATGCATGTACACCATGTGTATGCCTGGTACCCTCGGAGGTCACTGGAACTGAAGTTAGGAATGGTTGTGAGCTGCCAGATGGGTGCCAGAAATCCAACCTGAGTCCTCTACAAGGACAAGTGTTCTTAACTCCTGAGCCATCAATCCAAGCCAATAGGTTACATTTTAAATGGCTCTTCATTTGACCCCCACAGCAACCCTATGAATAATGAGTAGAGAAGGGATGCAGTCTATTTGACAAGACAGCACAGGAGACGAGGGAGATTTGTAAGCTATTCATAGTTCTACAGAGACAAAATCACAACTGCACTGCAACTCATTGTACTTCTACTTTAGTATTCTCCCCATGCTTTGCTTTGTGAGTACTGAATACGCATTTCAAATACATTCATTCTATAACACAACTATGCCCTAGCAATGATTAATTCTCCATCCCAAGTAACCCAAAGCAAATAATTACAATTCTGCCCCTTGTTTTAAATAGTCTTATGTATCCCAGAGTGACCTCAAACTCACTATGTAGCAAGAGAGGACCTGAAATTTCTTTATTATTCTTTTAGCTTTTATTGATTCTTTGTGGATTTCACATCATGCATCCTGATCCCACTTATCTCTCTGTCCCCTTGCATCTGCCCTCTGCCCTTGCAACCCCCAAAACAAAACAAAATTTAAAAGAAAAACCAAACCAAACAAACAAAACAACACACACACACACACACACACACACACACAAAGAAGAATCTCGGTGTGAAAGCTGTAGTGTTCCCCTGTGAGTCACATAGTTTTCTCTTTAGTCCATTCATCTTTACTTGTGTTCATTTCTATGAGTCTTTGTTTGGTCTGGTTCAAGCCCTCTGGCTTCTGCTACACTATTGATAATGGGCTCTCCCTGGGGCTCCTCTTGGATATCCTGTTGTTGTCCTGTGTCCTGGAGATCCTGCTGATTTGGATCTGTAGGTTTGTCCCCTTCACATGCTCCAACATGCTTCACATGCTCATGGTTGAGGTGGATGTTGGGTGGGTTAACTCATACCCCTGGCTCTGGGCCTCATGGTAGCTGGGTTGATCAGCCTGCCAGCTTTCCCTCATTGTCACTATCCAGGCAGGCTCTGCAACATTGCCTCAGGTAGCTCACTCAATACAGCCTGCAGCAAGGAGCTGGGCCAGTTCTGCTCTCAGGCCCTAGGATCCAGCTCACCCACACTCACACCACCAGGGCCGGCTCTATTGCTTTGCCCAGGGCAGGTGCAGGGCTCCCTCTCCTGATTGTTATAGGGGGAATATGAGGGAGATACAGGGTCAGTTCTCCTGCTCTCAGGCCTCAGGGCTAGCTTACCTGTGCTCCCTCCAACAGGGTTAGCTCTAGTGTGCTCCCCAGGTGAAGTGCACTCCTATGGTGAGGCATGGGGTCATCTTTCCTAAGTGTGGAGATCAGCTCTCCCTTGAAGGGTGGGACCAGCTCTCCTACTGCACTATCCATCTATCCTAGGGCCAGTGAAGGGCAGGGGCAGCTCAGCACAGCCCTCGGACTTCAACCAGCATGGTTCTTATGAGCCCTTGTGGTAACTTGGATCATGGACATCAACACAGACCCCAGCTGCAGCAGGACCATGAGACATGGCCCTCGGCAGCAGCTCTAGTCCAGACATCACCATGAACCTGGTGCTAGCACAGGCCATCGAGATCAGTATGGCTCTGATAGCAACATGGTCTCAGATGGCTGATCAGACACTGGGCATCTGCAGAGCCCTCCGTGGTAACAGCAGCCATGGACACCACCCCAGATCCCTGCTGCTGCAGGGTCACAGACACAGAATGTAGGCATCAGGACCTGGAACTTCTTATCCTCTTGCTTCCACTTGCCCACTGAAAAAAGTATACCACTGTACCTGTTTTGTGCATTGCTGGGTATCAAACATGGGGCTTCATGCATGCTAGGCAAGCATTCTAACAATTGAGCTACATCTGTGGCCCCTGCCATCTCTTAAAATAATTTTGTAACTGCAGTTAAGACTCTTTACCAGTTTGTGGGAAAGTTTGCACAAAAGCAGACCCTATACTTTTAATTTGCATATATGAAAGGAATGGGCAGAAATATGCTAGGATTGTAAACTATAGTGCAAACCCCAGTTTTCTGGTGTTTGATTGACTATTCACAATCAATGCAAGTTCCTTATATATGTGACTGTTTTCTCTTCCCTCCCCCATTCCAGAAATGAAAACACTTCCTCTTAGGTGTAAATGGTGTTATTTAAAATTGTAGAGGGTTTCAAGTGTAACATCACTTGTGATCCATGATAAATGCTGTAACACTGAAACAGAAATAATTACTAACTAGACAAGTTTCCCCTAGTCACCCATAAAGAATGAGCTAAATAGATGCTTTCATCATTCTGAAAAAATTCTTTCTCCAAAGAAAT